GACCCCGGAGAAAATTTGAAAAGTAAAACCCTCAAGCCTAAGGACTTTCAAGATGTAGGGTCCTAGGAAGGAATACGGCTGCGCGCGCATCTAACTGCAGCAACAGGATGACTCACGGGTTTAGGCAGAACCACCAGACGAACAGACCCAGGAGAGGACAATCTCTTGTTTTTCTTTATAGAGCCACTATTTGTTGCAATATACATTTACTTTTCATTTTCACTTTATTTGATTAAGTAATCAATATTTGAGTCAAATATGTGCTCTCAGCCACACAGGATACAGGCCTCCCTACCTTTATCTTCCCTACGCACCCCTACGGTCGTTTTTACCTTTCTGCTAGCCTCATTTGTCTCAACCAATCCCGCTGAGATTTCGCGTTTGCGTCACGAGTTTCTAGGCGATCGAGAAAATCCTCTCCGCGGCTGCGCGAAGACGCGCCCCCTCCTGGTGGTGCAGACCAAACGGTCCTAGCGCGCGTGAGTTGTTGAGAGCGGAGTTTGTCAGGCGTCTAGCGATCGGAAGATTGGTGTCCCTTGAAGCGAAGAGCGGCCCCGCGAGGGCAAGGGACGTGCAAACGGCCCCGGCTCAGTGAGGACTTAGGTCTTATTTGGTTTGTGTTCATTCTGGGTTCTGCCCCGGCTTTTCTGTCAAGTCTGGAGGCCTCGCTCACGGTGAGCTTCGCCCCTCACACTAGTGAACTGGACTGGGTGCCGCGAGGAACACTCGTTTTTTTCCTTTTCTATTTTTTTTTTTCCGTGCTGGGAATTGAACCCAAGGCCTTTCACATATTTTTAAAATGTTTAAATGCCGTCTGCCTTAAAAAGAAAAAAATATATATTTTAATGGAGCTGGCGTGATGACCACGCTTGTAATCCCAGAAGCTCAGAGGGGAGGCTTAAATTCGAGGCCAAGGGCTGGCCAAGGGCTCACTTGGTAGAGCACTTGCCTTCTATGCACAGGGCCCTCGGTTCAACCCCCACCACCACAAAAAAAAAAAAAAAAAAAAAAAAAAATCGAGGCCAGCTTCAGCAATTTAGCGAGGCCCTAAGCAATTTAACGAGACCCTGTCTCAAAATAAAAATGAAAAGGGCTGAGGCTGTAACTCAGTAGTAGAGCACCCCTGGGTTTAATCCTCAGTACCCCGCTCCCCGCAAAAAAAGTCCTTCAAGGCTGCGGTCAGGTACCGCCCCTCATCCTGGAAGCTCCTCCCAGCCAGAACTGGTCTTATGTCCTCCATCCTGCCGGTGGGCTAAGTTTCTTTGCATAAGATGTATCTTATCTATTTCATTTGTAATTGCTGAACGTCTGTAAAAATTCTAGGCTCTTGGGATCCAACATTGGATAAAACAAAGGGTCCTGCCGGTCCAGGGCAGGGGAGGGAGAGACACTGATGAGAGACACAGGTCTTTGAAGTAAAGAGTGTGTTTGAGGGTGATGTGAGCCATGGGAAAAGAAAGTAACAAATTGAGGGTGGGTCTTGAGGCTCTAACAGAGGGGAGATAAGTTGAACTTGGGTAGTGTTGGGGAAGAAGGAAGTAAATCACAGGCAGAGGAAATAGAAGGTGGTTTAAAGGGCAGACTATAACTCCTGCATATATGAGACCCTTGTATGTAAGAGGAAGGTGTGGAAGGTGGGAATCCTGAACTTGTACCGGGGGTCCAGTGCAGGCCACTCAGCCAAAGCAATCCACAGCAGGGACTGGGGTGCTGGCCTAGACTTTCAGATAGTTTAATCTTTAAATATTTGGCATAGAATCTATGGAAAAAGCCAGAGATCTAAAAATTGTTTTCTCCTAGGGATGCTGATTTAATTAACAAAATGAATATAAAATCTTATGTTTGAAAACCTGATCATAACCTTCCACTTGAATGCAAGGTTGGAAGATTAGAGCTGTGTGGATAGTGCATAGTTGGTGGGGAGGGCATGAAAAAACAGAACAAAATGTATGTCAATATATGAATGTGAAAACAAAAAGAATCTCCATCTCTCATCCCTGCACCCTGTTTCTTATGCCTACTTATGGGCATAAATATGTACTAGTAGTGATTACAAGGAAAAGCCAATAAATTTGGTTTAATAGTGATCAGAAATGGAAAATCTTTGTTTTACCTAAGATTCTAAGAGCAGAACATAGTAATGAGATAAATTCACAGCAAGGTCAGACTTTGTAGCAGAAGGGTAACATCAACAAGCTCAAGAGAGATTAATAGAAGGAGCTCTGATTAACTTCTGGAGAATTGTGACAAAGTGGTCCCATCAAAGCACAAATAACTTGGATTCATGGAAGGTACAGAAGCAGTGAAGGACTGAGCATTGGTGAACATTTGAAATGTCTAGATTTGAATCCTGGCTTCCCCTATTATGTGTGATCTGAAGCAAATTAGTTTATCCCATGCTTGGATTATAATGTATGTTTACTGAATGTTAGAAATTATTACTCAGAATATAATAGTCATTGAAATAAGATACAGAACAGTAGAGTATTAAAGCCTGAAGTAGTTATGAAGAGAGTACTTTTCCCTCAAAGACTTTAAAAGTTCATTTGGATTATATCATGTGCAGATAGATAACGTGACTGATATATTATTTTAAAAATTACATAGCATGGACTGAGGGTATATCTCAGAGGTAGAGTTCTTCTCTAGTATGCACAAGGCCATGGGTTCAATCCCCAGCACCAGAACAAAATGAATTAACAAACAAAATGAATATTAAAATGTCCATCAAGCAGTAGGAAATCCATTTTCTTTTGTCCTGCCCATGCCACTTCCAAAAAAAAAAAAATTACATACGAAATTGATTGTCTAAATTTTATGTAAGGTGTAGAAAATATTTAAAACACTGCTATTTTATTTATATAGTTGATTTGCACTAACTCATTTGATCCTTATCTCCTTTTTTAATATTTATTTTTTAGTTTTCGGTGGATACAACATCTTTATTTTATTTTTATGTGGTGCTGAGGATTGAACCCAGCACCCCGTGCATGCCAGGCAAGCGCGCTACCACTTGATCCACATCCCCAGCCCTTCCTTTTTTATTATAACACTTAGAATTGTTGTTATTGTTATTTGCTATATCCCTAGCCCAGAATTATTATTTTTTACATTTATCTTTCCCAATAGACTTGTAGGAATTATGTGTCACAGGACAAAATATCTTCAACACTTCAAAGAGCTTGGCATGTTGTAGATGCTCAGTGATTGTTGGAAGAAAGAATATATAATATAAGCAGTCCCACTTGGGACTTTTGTACTTTTTCCATCTCTGTTGGCTGAGTTAAGTCATATGTGTCCACTTCTTTGTTCACTACCAGTTCAGGCCAAGTTGATGTTCTTTCAGAACTCTATTCAAGCTATTTTTTTCTAAGAAAAATTTCTTTTTAATTTCCTTTTTTCTCTCCCCAACGTATGCTTGGAATCACACTCAACTCTCATTTTGTATTTGAAATTTCAAACATTGTGTTTTGTACAGGTCTACTTTAATGCATAAGATAATAGTCATCTAAATTCATACTTCTAAATGAATGCTATCCCTCAGAATTACACTTTGGGAGGATCCCAGTGATGACACCTTTCACCTTTATTTAAAACTTCTTTGAAAATGATTTTTAGAACTTCCAAGATATAAAATAAAAATCTTTTTCTTTTTTTTTTTTTTTTTGGTAGTGGGGATTGAACTCAGGGGCACTCAACCATTGAGCCACATCCCCAGCCCTATGTTGTATTTTATTTAGAGACAGGGTCTCACTGAGTTGCTTAATGCCTTGCCATTGCTAAGACTGGCTTTGAACTTGAGATCCTCCTGAATCAGCCTCCCTAGCTGCTGGGATTACAGGCATGTGCCACTGTGCCTGGCAAGAAAAAATCTATTTAATCAACTATCTTAATATTCTTTGAACAAAAATATTACTCAGTCGCCTTATTTGCCAAACTTTGCTCTGAGTGACATATATCTTTTACCTAGGAAGATCTGTTTATCATTGAAGACATTCTTAAACTCATGTTTTGAAATTTTCTTCAGAGTCTGAGTGTTTTATTTAGAATATCTTCAATGATATTTTTCTTAGAAAAAATTAGCTTGAATAGTGTTTTGAAAGAAAAATCAATTTGGTATGAATTGGTGATAAACAAAAAAGTGGACACATAAGACTTAACTCAGCCAAAGCAGTAATCCAAAGATTTTTTGGTGAATGTGGAGGCAGGTCAAAAGGAGGTGAATTATTTGAGGAATATTTCTCAGAGGTCCTGAAGACAGTGTCCTGATGAAACATTTCTCCCTTTTTTCAGAGAACAAGATTGTAATGACCATGTTCTCTAGATTGAGGGTCACATTCTTTTACTGAATAGTGCCAGAGAAACACTACCAAAATCCATCTCTAAACTGTTTTATATATAAGTTTCCATGTTGGCTTTCTATGGACTCAGTGTAATAGATGGAGGCAAACTAGTAAAAGCATAAGTACAGTACAATTTTATATAAGAATTTTGCTAAACAAATATTCCTTCATAGCTGGGTGTGGTGGTGCATACCTATAATTCTAGGTACTCCAGAGGTTGAGGCTGGAGGATTGCAAGTTTGGGGTCAGCCACCCTCAGCAATTTAGCAAGAATACACCTCAAAATTTTAAAATAAAATAACAGTTGGGGATGCAACTCAGTGGATGAACTCAGCATCCCTGGGGGATTAATTCCCAGTTCTCCCAGTATTGCCCCCCCCAAAAAAAAATCAAGTATTTCTTTGTTCTTTTACATATTTTCCCTCATCTTTATCCTATGCTTATAAGCCAAACTTAAATAAATACATGCAAGAATTTCTTTTAGTACACTCAAATTATTGATATTTTTGCTATAGTCTCTCCAGACTACATGAGGTATAAGGAAAAGGACTGACTTAACAATATCAAAAAATAATTTTCTCTATCTTTTTTTTCGTCACTTTTCCCAGCACTACTGATGTTTTTCTTTCTTTCCAGCTTTTAGCCTTTCTCCCAAGGATGGAAATGCTTCTGTTTGGTATCTGGACCCTACTGACATTGATCCCTTGCCCAGGTGAGGCTATTTGGGAAAGTTTCTTTAGGCCAGTATGTGTATGGATACACATGTCTGGTCAGTGAGCAAGGGGATGGGGCAACACTTCAGTATTTATTCATCTTGACTCTTGGGAGAAATTATCCTATCTCTTGATTCACTGGAACACAGAATCTCCAGGTGTCTCTGGGTTGTAATTGGGTAACCTAAATTAATAGACCATCAGAGAGAACTTTGTCTAGGAAATGTGTCTTTTTCTGCAAGGCTCTCTGCTACTCTACGACTGTTCTTGTCTTGGTAGGATCATGTAGTAGAATAGAATTGCTCGCTTTATGGCAGCTGGGAAGTGAAAGGAGGGAGAGGAGAGGCTGGGATTCCAATATCCCTTGTCTCAATGACCTGTCTTCTACTAGACCCCATCTCCTGAAGGTTTCACCATCTCTCAGTAGAGAGATATTCCCTTCAAGAACATTTTACTTGGGCTGGGGGTGTAGCTCCATTGGTAGAGTGCTTGCCTTGCATGCACAAAGTCCTGGGTTCAATCCCCAGCATCACACACACACACACACACACACACACACACACACACACACACAAAGAATGTTTTACTTCTTTGTTGCCACCCTTTGTGTCATGACGAGCCATAACAGATTCCTGGCATCACACATACTAGGCAAGGACTCTAACACTAGCTACATCTCCAGCCTATAATAGGATCTTGTTAGGACAGGGCCTGTTATAGCTCAGTTGCAAAAAGTTGTTGCATTGGTAACAGGAACTCTGGAGCCTTATCAGGTAATATTTCTACAGGTGTTGTGCAGAGGGAAATATTTGGTAGATATAGTGGATGGTGGACATGGTAGCTAAAAGGGACTATGCACCTTACCTACATCAGGTATCTAAAATATATCTGATGTTTCCATCAATGCATCTGAGACTGTTTCCCTAACATTGTGTTAGCTTTCCATTGCTGGGACAAAATACCTGAGGGAAAAAAATTAACTTGAGGAAAAGCTTTTTTGGCTCATAGTTTCAGAGGTTTCACTCCATGACTACTCAGTCATATTGTTTTTGGGTCTGTGGTAAGGCAGAACGTCATAGTAGGATCATGTGGTAGAACAGAATTGCTCAACTTATGGCAGCTGGGAAGCAAAAGGAGGGAGAGGAGAGGCTGGGATTCCAATATCCCTTTCTAGGGCATGCCCCAATGACCTAACTGTCTTCTACTAGACCCCATCTCCTGAAGGTTTTTCACCACAATCTGGCAACCAAGCCTTTAACATATGGGCCTTTAGGGGTCATTTAGCTCTAAAGCATCAGAGAACAAACTTGTAAATACTTCAAAACATTTGTTGCCTTAGCATCAAAGCAAAATGGAATATTCTCACTCTAAGAAGAGGTGGAAAGTTCCATAGGAAGTGAGTGACCATGGTAGTCACCTTTAGGCCAGTGGTTCTGAGAGTTTGGTGTGTAGAAGGTCCCCAAGAGGCTTGTTTTGACTGCTAGCATGTTTCCAAGTCCTGCCTTCACCAGTTCATAATCACTCAGTCTGACATGGAGTTGGAATCGGCAGCATTCCAGTTGACTCTGGTAAAGGCAGTCATTAACTACAATTTGAGAAAAATAGCTTTGAGGTATAAGTGACAAAGCTCTTTCACTTAGGAATCTGTATGCTAATCCCATGAGGGTCCTCAGTAGCCAGTCCTGGGGAGCTTCTCAAAATTCTGAAAGCTTAGGAAAAGAATAGATTTGTGGACATGATTTTTAACAACTCCAAAATGCCATTGTGAAGTCAAGATCTCAAGAAAGAAGATGGGTGAAGGAGTAATGGTTGAATTGGGACTCTCAACCAGTGATTAAAGTTCTTTTTTGTTCAGTCTCCTGAACCTTTTATATTCAGGGCAGGTTTTCCTTTACCTAGAACTAGATAAAATAAGCCTTGGATTTTGTCTGGGTCTCATGATCTTCACCAAAGTCTTCAGCATATGTGGTTCATTTCAGGGGCCATAGAAGAGCTTTTTGAGGTTTCTGTTTGGCCAAATCAGGCCCTAGTGGAATTTGGACAGTCTCTAGTGATCAACTGCAGCACAACCTGCCCAAATCCAGGACCCAGTGGAATTGAGACGTTCTTAAAGAAAATCCAGGTGGGCAAAGGGCTTCAGTGGAAGGAGTTTCTCCTGGAAGATGTCACAGAGAACTCTGTCCTGCAGTGCTTCTTCTCTTGTGCAGGGATTCAAAAGGATACAAGCCTGGACATCATTGTGTATCGTGAGTAGGGCAGAAAACTGGGGAGGAAAGAGGAGTGGAAAAACGGGAATCTGTCTTATTTAGGGGAGAATTAGGGCCCTTATTAAAGATTTCTGTCATACTGGAAGATTCCAGAGGCAGATGCATCTTTTTCCCTTTGGCAGAGGCTGAGTTCTGGGTTTTGTATTAGCAGACTGTCGAGGGCATCCAGACATAGCTTCTGGAGGACAGGAAGCAGATGCTAATAATGCTAACTTCTGAATCATCAACAGAATATGATATTAGTGCTGACTATTTGCTACAAGTTGTTAGAATAACAGAAAGGAGAGTCATTTTGAGCTGGGGTAGTTAGAGAAGTCTACGAAGAAGGAGACCCCTGATTTGAAGAATGGGTAGACTTTGAATTGTTGGGGAAGGTAGTGAGGGGGATCGTTCTGTGGGGCAACTAGCAGTAGTAAAGGTTGGTCTGTAAGAATAAGTGAAATCTCTTGTAGGTGAAGAACTTAGTTAGCTAGAGTGATTTTTGTGTGATGCTAAAAGTATTTTAGAAGTTGCTCAGCCTCTGAACACCCCTGGTAAAAAATAAAAGCTCTCCAGAATGGCAGCAACAAAGCAAAGGACCTCCCTTCCATTGTCACATTTCTGGGTTATGGCTCTAGCCACCTTTGATGAGCAAGAAGAACTAGAAGACTAACTCATCCCATCTATGGTGGGGGCAGCAGGAAATTGACACTATATCAGATAATTTAAAGGTAGTAGTCATCTTCTGTCATTTGCATATTCACAGGCTTCCTGTCCTATGTCATTTCTTTCTGGAGAAGTGGGTAGCTCTCACTCATCAAGCCCTACCTTTTTTGTTTTAAAGAGCCACCAGAGCAGGTGATCCTGGAGCTTCAGCCTGCATGGGTGGCCGTGGATGAAGCCTTTACAGTGAAGTGCCAAGTGCCCAGTGTGACACCCCTGGAGAACCTCACTCTTACCCTTCTCCAGGATAACGAAGAACTGCACAGAAAGAACTTTGTGAGCATGACTGTGGCCTCTCAAAGAGCTGAGGTCACCATCAGTGTCAGAGCCCAAAGGGAGAATGACAGGTGTAATTTCTCCTGCCATGCAGAATTGGATTTGAGTTCACAAGGTGGAGGGCTCTTTCATGGCAACTCGGCTATCAAGCTACTCCGGATCTTTGGTGAGTTTGAGGCCATGTGTGAAAGGAATCCTGGCACTCATTTTGCTCATCTTGCCTTGGCCTTTGAGTTCTCGTTTTGGTTGAGGCTGTGAGGTTAATTGAACTCCACCTCTACTTTTTAACTCACCTTGAGAGAGAGAGAGAGAGAGAGACATTTTAGCCCCACTCCCATCCTACATTGTATGGTCCTACATAACACATGATTTATCATGACTTTCCTCTTTTCTTGCCTTTTGCTAATTTCTTGGCAGAATTCTCTCAGAGCCCCCAGATCTGGATCTCTTCCCTTCTGGAGGTTGGGATGGCAGAGACTGTGAGCTGTAAGGTGTCCAGGGTGTTTCCAGCCAAAGAAGTTATATTCCTCATGTTCCTGGGAGATCAAGAGCTGAGCCCCTTCCTCTTCTGGAGAGAGGACACAGCATGGGCCAATGCCACTGTTCGGGCCATGGAGACTGGTGATCAGGAGCTGTCATGCATTGTGTCTCTGGGTCCAATGGAACAGAAAACAAGGAAGTCCGTGTATGTCTACAGTAAGTGACCTGCCTCTTCCTTTTCCCATGTGAGTTCTCTGCTCTTGAAAACTAACACAGAAATGGGTTAGTAATTCAACTGTAGATATCTCTGCTAACCTTTGCCAGGTATGCTCTCAAGTGAATATTAGTCTTCATCTTTCTCTGTATGTGTAGGCAGGTTGGGATGTGCATCATGACAGTTCTAGCCAGCCTTCACCCTCTGCTTCCTAAGGCCATCCTGTGTACAGAGCAATTACTGGTGTTTGAACTTCACTCTAGAACAATTATTTGAAGGGAAATATAAGATGAAAAGAGATCTTACTGTCCTTTCAATAAAGACATATAACCAAATATGTGTACACTGCATTTGTTATAAGAGAAGCTTTCAAATCCCCAAACTCTTTGTTGTTCAGCCTTTACAGAAGCATAATGGCATCCAAAGTCTTTTTTCCTGTTGTCTGCCTATCCAAGGGAGACCTCCAGCAGAAAGTACAAAAATAGCTGCCAGTTTTGAAAAATGAATTTTATTTATTCTTCCTTTTTTTCTTTCTCCTTTCTTCCTTTTTTTTTTTTTTTTTTTGTGGTGCTGGGGATTAAACCCAGGGATATTCAACTACTGAGTCACACCCCAGCCCTTTTTATTTTTTATTTTGAGACAGGGTCTTACTAAGTTGCCAAGGATGGCCTTGAGCTTCCTTCCTCATCCTCTTGGGTCCTTTTTCCTTTCTTTATAGGTTTCCCTCCACCCATCCTGGAGATAGAAGAATTATATCCTCTGGCAGGGACAGACATTAATGTGACCTGTTCAGGCCATGTATTAACATCACCCAGCCCTACTCTTCAGCTACAGGGAGCCCCAACCCTCTCTGCTCCTGGGGAGACTGTATGGCTTCTACTTACTGCCAGGGAGGAAGATGATGGCCGAAATTTCTCCTGTGAGGCCTCTTTGGAAGTACAGGGTCAGCGGTTGGTTAAACACACTGTGACACAGCTTCATGTCTTATGTGAGTAGAGACCTGGTCTTTCTTAAAATAAGGATTATTTGTTCCCCATTCCCAGAGATCTTCTTGGCCAGTAACTTCATTGTTAACATTGCCACATTTTCCTCATTGAAAAATTAAAGAAAATACAGTGAAAGCTCTCCAAGCTTACTTACCCCCAAGAAAGTGAGTGGGTAGGAAGATGAAGGGAAATTGGAACCCGAAAGGAAAGTGGTTGCAGTGATTAAACAGCAATAGTTGAGAGCTGATGACTGGGAGAACATAGGAAGGGGAAGTTGGAGCTGATGCTAAGGAGGAAAGTTTCCAAATATTCCATATCAAAATTTGTAATTTGCAAAGTGGGAAAATCCTCATTTCTGAGTTCACCCCTGCTCAACTCCTTCTCCATTGGGAAGCTAAATGGGTAACAGAACAGTGTTACCATTAGTCTGAATCTGTAAACATACTCTAGGCTGCATCTCAGACTCCTTTTCCACAAGGAGGGAAAGAGGAGCTGGCTCAAACAGGGAACTAATAATCTTCCTCTTGGGAAAGAAAGCTGTTAGGTGGAGGGAACAGCATTTGGGTGGTGTGGGGAGAGGGAGCTCAGCATGGAGGTGAAAAGGGGAACAGAGCATACTGAGTTGGCCTCCTTGGGGACTCTGTTTTTGCAGATAAACCAAGGTTAGAGGAATCTGGTTGTCCTGGAAACCAGACATGGGTAGAAGGAATGGAGCAGATGCTTACCTGTGTCCCAGAGGGAAATCCAGTTCCAGCTTTGGAGTGTACTTGGAATGGGATGATCATTGACCTTGAAGTGCCACAGAAGGCAACCCAGAACCACACAGGCACCTACTGCTGCACGGCCACTAACAAGCTGGGCTCTGTCAGCAAAGACATTGATGTCACTGTTGAAGGTAACTGCTGCCGCCCTGCTGTCAGACCCAGGGGTTTGAGATTTTACATATATATATATATGTAAAATATATATATATATATTTTAGCTGTAGATGGACACAATACCTTTATTTATTTTTGTAGTGTTGAGGATCTAACTCAGTGTCTCACACATGCCAGCTAAATGCTCTACCACTGAGCTGCAATTCCAGCCCCTTGAGATTGTTACTCAAGCATGGAAAGAAGAAAGATTTTATTGGGCTGGGGAGGAAGAGACTTAGAAGTGGGCCTGGTGGTAAGGGTGGGGTTATTCTCTTGTCCTCAAACCCCTCTCAGTTCTCTGTCTTCTGTGCTTGGACTAGGACTGGATAAAGGAGTCAACTCTACCCTCTTCATCATCATTGTCGTCCTTGGAGTAGGTGGCATCACCTTAGCACTGTATTTAAACTATCGGCCCTGCAAAATGAAGAGGAAGAAATTGCCCTATAGGCAGAAAAAGTATAACAAAGAAGAAGAAGATAATCAGTTTGCTGTTCAACAAGCAGAAAAGTGTAATTCACATAATTGTTGACTAGAAACAGCTCTTTGGTTGACAGAATTACTACTGGGGTTCCCCAGGGAGGGAAGAGTGGACAGAGGAGAAAGGAAGAAACAACATGAGGCTACATTACCCTTTGTGTTATGTTGTCCCATAAAACAGACATGTTTCAGGCCCCCCATGTCCTTTGTGTCCAGTCCATCCACAAGTTCACTTTTCTCTTTGGGTTCACTCCAGTCAATAGGATTTTCATTTTCATTTTCAGTGTTCAGCTAGTGAGAGGGTCATAGAAGGCAACCCAGAACCATCTTTCTATGTGCCTAATTGCCTAATTGGATCATTCTTAGATCTACAAAGATCCTGCTTTTACATCTTCATTCCCACTACCCTTTTCTCTATGAAATTTGCCTCATAGGTTAAGGCTGCAAACATCTCTGAATTTCTTTTCATAAGCAATTGCAGAGTAATCTATGAGTTCACATTTGACATATTTACCTATATGAGATCTTGGGTTTAGTTTCAATGTTTAGCCTTAATTTCCTAAAGATGTATAACATTCATCTGCCTGAGAACTATTTCTTTAAGTGTCAGGAGGAATCATCTTGGGCTGGGGATGTAGCTCAGTGTAGAATGCTACTGGGTTCATTCCTCAGTCCTGGGGAAAAAAAGTCAGAGAATGAAAAAATCTCTTGTAAGATTTTATGATTTGGCTTTCTTTTTTGGAAAGAGTTTATTCACTCTTGGAGAGGCATGAGGAATCAGAAAACGAGATCTTTTCTCTCAGATCAGTCTTGAAATGTTGGCTCTGGTGAAAATAAATGTGATTTGATGATATCTGAATGTACTTTTCTTTGTATCATTCCTGAGAGTTTTTTTTTAATTAAACCAAATAGTTGCATTTTAGAGCTTTGAATATAATTTCTAAGGTCAGAATATCAAATCGATAGCATGAACAGTGACCCTGGGGCAGGTAGTGCAGTAGCCTATCTGACCTGCCCTCAAAACTAAAGTTCAGACTTCCAGAGAGAGGCCTACAGCCTTCCATATTACCTACACTAGCTAGAAAGAATGCAGCATCAGATACCAAAGGGGAAACATTTTCCCCTTCCTCCCAGATTTCCCTGAGTTTTGGGAAGTGGTACAAAAGCAACATTTTGGTTTTACAACATCCTGGCAAAGGGAATGCCATTGTGAACAAATCATTGTTCCTGCCATCCACAAGATTATAGTTGGTTTGGGAATGTGTTAGCTTTTCATCACTGTAACAAATACCTAAGGTAAATCAAGGAGAACAGTTTTATTTTTGCTCACAGTTTCAGGGGTTTCAGTCCATGTTGAAATAAGCAAACTAGCTGTTAGTCTTAGAGGTTAACAGATAAACCAGAAAATTAGGAGTTAGAAAGTGGACTAATCTTCAAGGCTGTGAAATTATGAACATATCAGGTGATGCGAGGTCAGGAAGTCATCTCAGCCTTCTTGAGACTATGCACTGTGTGGGCAGCAGAAATACAAGAAGCCAGAGCCTGACAAGGTCACTAAAACAGAACCATCTATACAGGACAATAGTCTGCCCTATTTTCAAAAAAGAAGCAAGTTCTAGGTGATGAGGGGCAAATACATGTAGAACAGTGACTGCATAACACACAGTTACCTTTATTAGCATAGTAAAGCACCCCCAAAGTGGAGACAAGATGGTAATGAGATACATAGCATGAAGAAACATGATGAAGGGTTGGGGTTGTAGCTCAGTGGTAGAGTGCTTGCCTAGCAAGCATCAGGCCCTGGGTTCCATCCCCAGGACCACATACAAAAACTAAATAGACAAAGGTATTGTGTCCATCTACAAGTAAAAACATAAAAAAAGAAACATGATGAAGAAGAGCACAGATGGAACTATACTCCCATTCTACATGTGATGACATCAAATCTAGTTAAAAATATGTGCATTAACTCTTATGATCATGAAAGGATAGATTATTAAGAGAAAGCCTAACTTGGGTGGGGGGGTGCTTATAGTTGATTAGAGAATGTGTTAGCTTTTCATTACTGTAACAAATACCTAAGGTAAATCAACTCAAGGAGGACAGTTTTATTTTGCTAACTTGGTGGGGGGCGCTTCCTGGAGGGAGAATATTTTGAGTTTGCACAATAGCATTTCTCCAAGTGACCTTCTCAGCCTCAATTTTCCCACTAAAGATGGTGGTTCCTACTCCTTCATCATGTGTGTCTTAATGTAAAGTATTCATTTTCTCAAATTGAGCGCTTGAGGAAGAATCTGGGAAAAAGCAGGTTTAAGAGAGCAGAGTATGAATAGCCTTATCCAGGGATCTCCAGCCATTTCATAGTCTGGATTGGCTGCATTAGGCTTGTAGTTAGTTGGTCCACATCTGCAAATGCCACCCTCTGACCCCAGAGCCCTGACTCCCAGTGATTAAAATAAGGAGGCAAGAAGGGGGTCATTTGTACTTCCTACGCTCTTCAAGGAGAGCTTTTGCTCTTCATTGCCACTGGGTGTCACTGTTGACAGAGGGTTTTGCACAGTCCCACCAAATCAAGGGTTTCTGCAGATCCACATATTTGATTGGCTACTGTGAATCTTTATGGGAGGATGATCTACTACCTTAGGTCTCAATACGGCTGTAGATGACTCTTTGTTTGTGTTTCCAGGGTTACACCTTTTAGAAGTCAGTGCTTTGGATTTTCCATCTCACCAGGCTTTTCAGATTTGGTCTAGCCTCTTCCCCTCATAGATTTTTCTCTTCTTTCCTTCCCAGGATCTACCCAGTCAGGGGTTGGGTAGCCCCTTCTTGCCAATTCTCAAAGCACAAAGGATCTCAGTACATCTCTTTTCCAGAATAACAGAACTCCTAAGGGTAGCTGCCTTCATTGTCTCCAGGACTCCCCAGACCCTGAAAGGTTTTGATAATATCTTCCTCTAAACAACTGTTCACAGTAATTAGTAGCTGCCCATTCAGAGGAAGAGTGACCTTTAATACCCCAACATTTGTACTCTTAAAGATGGTTAAGGTTGATGAGCATGGTGGCACACGCCTGTAATCCCAGAGGCTCTGGAGACTGGGGCAGGAAGATCGTGAGTTCAAAGCCAGCCTCAGGAAAAAAAAAATTCACTGAGGCACTAAGCAACTCAGTGAAATCCTGTCTTTTGTATTAAAAAAATACAAAATAGGGCTGGGAATGTGGCTCAGTGGTTGAGTGCCCCTGAGTTTAATATCCAGTTACCCCTTGCCCCCCCCGCAAAAAAAAGATGGTTAGGGTAACTTTTTGCCATCTTTCTAGATCTGAGAAAGGATAAGTTAAATATTCAGTGGGGCTTCTTACTAAAGTGGTAGTAGTATTTACAGGATTATAGTGAGAAAGAAATGAAACAGTATTTGGAAAACATGAATATGGTGCCATACACGTGCTCACAAATATTGTTTTTTATTATGTGAATAATCCCAGTGGTAATTATGTCCTTAATTATAATCATAATGAATTTGAGGCAAGAGTCAGAAACCTGTGACAATTGTTAAGGGCCATCATAAGTTGCACATTCCATACACGTTTCTCTTTTCCATTATGTTATTTCCTTTGACTTTCCTAGTCTTCTTCCTCCTCCTTCCTCTATTTTTCTCCTTTTTGGTTTCCCAAGATTTAGGAATAAAAGTTGGCTAACCAAACTTACTAGCTCATTTGCATTGAGTTGAGGAGTTCTTAAAATCAGGAAAGCTTTATGTCAACTGGGACTGGCTAATAATCTTGATACTAATCACCCAAAGTGTTTCTCGGCCATGCCAGGGCCTTCTGTGAATTTGGTGGTGTGAGGGATCAAACCCAGGCTTTAATCTTCTAGGCAAGTGCTCTACCACTGAGCTGCACCACCAGGGGCTTTTGGATTAAGGAAACTTCAAGGCTTGTCTGGTCCAAAAGCCCAGATCTTGTTCCAAGTAGAACTTATGCAGAAAGAGGGGTGTCACTTCCACTCTAAGTGTGTATGCAGGGACAAAACTAGCTGTGTATGTTTTGGCAATGCTGATGGAAGACATTCAGAATTGATTTTAGATTAGGGTAAATTCAAAAGATTGCATGAAGCCAGGTGTAGTGGCACATACTTGTAATCAATCCTAGCTATTTAGGAGGCCAACGCAGTAGAATTGAAAGTTCGAGGTGAGCCTTAGCAATTAGTGAGACCCTGTCTAAAAATGAAAAATAAAAAGGGATAGAGATGTAGCTCAATGATAGAGTCCCAGTGAGTTCAATCCCTAGTAAAACAAACACACACACACACACACACACACACACACACCCCAGATTGCATGAAGTCAGAAAATATTCTTAGGGAGCAACAATTGCTTGAGCTCTATTGAACTCTTCCTGGTGGAAGTCCTCTTCATCTTACCCTTGAGAAGATTTTTCATTTGAAAATATTGTTTACATTTGTAAAATTATGATAAGACAGACATAAAATTTACCATCCTAACCATTTTTAAGCATACAGTTTGGTAATGTCGATGTGTTGACATTACCAAACTGTATGCTTAAAAAGATGTGTAATCATCTCCACCATCTAGCTCCAGAACTCTCTCCATCTTGTACCAGGGAAACTTTATACCCATTATATAATTCCCGGTGCCCTTCTCTCCAGAGTCCCTGGCAGCCACCATTCTACATTCTGTCTTGATGGATTTGACAACTCTAAGTACCTCATCTGAGTGAAATCACACAGTATTTGTCTTTTTGTGACTGGATTATTAGAAAAAAAATTAATGATTGGTTAGAATAAGAACAGAGAGTTGCACAATGAACCTGGGTCTCTCATCTCCTTTTGTTCCATTTTGCCTATACAACAGCTCTGAACACGTGCTATCTAGCTCATCTTTAAAAATCTATTTTTTAAAAATTCCCTTATTACTAAGCAAGGTTTGACTCTTTTCAATGTGTATGGTGCTAGGAATTGAACCTAGGGCCTCACACATGTGCTGTCCTCTAAGCCAGACTTCAAGCCCTATCATCTTTGTGATCTTGTTTGCATTCTAGAATTCCCTGGGAAACTTTTTTAAAAATTCTTTTTCCAGAACCCTGTTCCAGAACAATTTAATCAGAATCTCAGGGTGTGAAGGCCATTGCTGTTTAGAAAACAAGTGTTAGGCAGTTCTCATTTGCAGCAGAGGCTCTGTGCACTGCCTAATTGAAAGAGCTTAGAGGCAGAATAACAACTGGAAAATTGAAGTGTTTAGGGTAAATGGTCTTTTTAAATTCTAAAATTTTGCAAAATCAGCTATCAGCTTTGTAATTCTCAATGAGTGGCGGTGTCTTTGCTCCCACTATTATCAAGCTGGATCTGAGTGGACACTCCAGAGTGTGGTTCCCCCTGCAGTCCAGTGCTGTCATGATGATCTCACTTTAGAATCTTCTTTTTTTTAAAATTTTTTTATTAGTTGCTCAAAACATTACAATGA